GGGGGGGGGGGGGGGGGGTTTCCAGTTTTCAGACAATAACTAAAAAATGCTTTCTCCAATTTGCAAGAAACTTCGATCAATTGTTTTTTATCTATTGACATAAGCTCCCTTTCGATTTTTATAAATTTTAGATTTTACGTTTTCGAGTTATGGGGTTTTATTCATTAAAAAAGGGGGGATTTTCCAGTTTTGGGACAATAACTAAAAAATGCTTTCAGCAGTTCTCATGAAACTTTGGTGAATTGTTTATATCTATTGATGTAAGCTGCCTTTTGATTTTTATAAATTTTAGATTTTATGTTTCAGAGTTATGGGGTTTTATTCATTAAAAAAGGGGGCATTTTCCAGTTTTTTGACAATACCTTTAAAGTGCTTTGAGCAGTTTAAATTAAACTTTCGTGCCTGGTTTATATCTATTAAGATAACCTACCTTTATTTGTTGATAGTCTGACAACAGATTTACTAAGTATTGCACAACAGCAAGAAATCTTTAATTGAATATAAATTCAATTCATATAACCAATTTCAAGTTCTTTGACTACATTTATTCAGAAACCTATAATATGTCAAATATTTAATTACAATCCAAATTCAGACCTGTATCAAGCTTGAATATTGTGTCCATTTTTGCCCCAACTGTTCAGGGTTGGACCTCTGCGGGCGTATCCAGCTGCGCTCAGCGAAGCAGTTTATTATCTATTTTCTCATTATTTGCAGAAACCATCATAGAGATAAATTGTAAATAGCAAAGATGATAAAAGCACAATAAGATCTTATAATAAGTTGAAGTGGTTAAAATTGTCAACTGACTCATTTTAGGAGTTATTGATCCTTAATGACCATTTTTATACGACCGCAAAAATTAAAAATTTTTTGGTCGTATATTGGTATGACGTTGGCGTCGTCGACGTCGTCCGGCGTCGTCCGAAGACACATTGGTTTTCGCACTCTAACTTTAGTTTAAGTGAATGGATCTCCATGAAATTTTACCATAAGGTTCAATACCACGAAAGGAAGGTTGGGATTGATTTTGGGGGTTATGGTACCAACAGTTAAGGAATTAGGGGCCAAAAAGGGGCCAAAAATAAGCATTTTTGTAACTTCCAGACAATAACTTGTGTGTAAGTGTATGGATCTCTCTGACATTGTACCACAAGGTTCCATATCACAAAGGAAAGGCTGTAATTGATTTTGGGGGTAATTGCCTCAAAATTTTAGGAATTAGGGGCCAAAAAAGGGACAAAAAAACAAGCATTTTTCTAGTTTCATGACAAAAACTTGTGTGTAAGTGTTTGGATATTTCTGAAATTGTACTACAAGGTTCCATATCACAAAGGGAAAGCTGGAATTGAGTTTGAAGGTAATTGCCCGAAACGTTTAGGAATTGGGGGCCAAAAATAAGCATTTTTCTAGTTTCCAGACAATAACTTGTGTTCAAGTGTATGGATCTCTCTGAAATTGTTCTGCAAGGTACCATACCACAAAGGGAAGGCTGGGATTGAGTTTGGGGGTGATGAATCATAAGGGGGTTCAAAAAATTTGGGGGGGGGGGGATTTTTTTTTACTTTTTTTTTCTTTTTTTCCTTTTTTTTATACGACCGCAAAAATTAAAAATTTTTTGGTCGTATATTGGTATGAAGTTGGTGTCGTCGTCGTCGTCTGGCGTCGTCCGGCGTCGTCCGAAGACACATTGGTTTTCGCACTCTAACTTTAGTTTAAGTAAATGTATCTCCATGAAATTTTATCATAAGGTTCAATACCACGAAAGGAAGGTTGGGATTGATTTTGGGGGTTATGGTACCAACAGTCAAGGAATTAGGGGCCAAAAAGGGGCCAAAAATAAGCATTTTTGTAACTTCCAGACAATAACTTGTGTGTAAGTGTATGGATCTCTCTGACATTGTACCACAAGGTTCCATAACACAAAGGGAAGGCTGTAATTGATTTTGGGGGTAATTGCCTCAAAATTTTAGGAATTAGGGGCCAAAAAAGGGGCAAAAAACAAGCATTTTTCTAGTTTCATGACAAAAACTTGTGTGTAAGTGTTTGGATATTTCTGAAATTGTACTACAAGGTTCCATATCACAAAGGGAAAGCTGGAATTGAGTTTGGGGGTAATTGCCCAAAATGTTTAGGAATTGGGGGCCAAAAAGGGGCCAAAAATAAGCATTTTTCTAGTTTCCAGACAATAACTTGTGTTCAAGTGTATGGATCTCTCTGAAATTGTACTGCAAGGTACCATACCACAAAGGGAAGGCTGGGATTGAGTTTGGGGGTGATGAATCATAAGGGGGTTCAAAAAATTTGCGGGAGGGGGATTTTTTTTTTTCTTTTTTCCTTTTTTTTTTTCTTTTAAAATTTTCCATTTTAAGTTGGTTATTTCTGATTTATATTTAAAAGCAAATAATAATGATATGGTAGGAGATACACACCAAACAGGATGTGTAAATTATTATATAATAAGTATTGTGCAATAGCAAGAAATTTTCAATTGCACAGTATTGCACAATACATGCAATAGCAAGAAATCTTCAATTGCACAGTATTGCGCAATAGCAAGAAATCTTCAATTGCACAGTATTGCGCTATAGCAAGAAATATCCAATAGCACAATAGCAAGAAATTGTCAATTGTACAGTATTGCGCAATAGCAAGAAATATTCAATTGCACAGTATTGTGCAAAAGAAGATACTTCGTATAAATTGCTTATTTCTTGATCAATTTCAATGGGGTTTTATTCTCGAATTCTTGGGGTTTTTTAATATGCTGAATCTAACCGTGTATTAAGTTTTTGGATTTTGGGCCCCGTTTTTAAATTGGTCCACATTGAGGTCCAAAGGGTCCAAAATTTAACTTTGTTTGATTTCATCAAAAATTGAATTATTGGGGTTCTTTGATATGCCAAATCTAACCGTGTATTTAGATTCGTAATTTTTGGTTCCGTTTTCAAATTGGTCTACATAAAGGTCCAAAGGGTCCAAAATTAAACTTAGTTTGATTTTAACAAAAATTGAATTTTTAGGGTTCTTTGATATGCTGAATCTAAACATGTATTTAGATTTTTGATTATGGGCCCAGTTTTCAAGTTGGTCCAAATCAGGGTCCAAAATTAAACTTTGTTTGATTTCAACAAAAATTGAATATATGGGGTTCTTTGATATGCTGAATCTAACCATGTATTTATATTTTTGATTTTTGGGCCCCGTTATCAACTTTGTCCACATTGAGATCAAAAGGGTCCAAAATTAAACTTTGTTTGATTTCATCAAAAATTGAATTCTTGGGGTTCTTTGAGACGCTGAATCTAACCATGTATTTAGATTTTGGATATTAGACCATAATAGGTGAATGTCCAATTTAAAATTTTTAAGTTCTTAGACCACATTCATTCTGTGTCAGAAACCTATGCTGTGTCAAATATTTAATCACAATCCAAATTCAGAGCTGTATCAAGCTTGAATGTTGTGTCCATACTTGCCCCAACTGTTCAGGGTTCGACCTCTGCGGTCGTATCAAGCTGCACCCTGCGGAGCATTTTATTACCCATTTTATGATTTTTTTGAAGAAACAAAAGTTAGATAGAGAGCAACAATATTTAGCAAAAATGTTCAGTAAAATAAGGTCCATAAATAAGTCAACAAGATTGAATTCTTCCCCCAAGAGAAGATTTTTATCCCATAAAAGAAGTTTTTTTCTTCATTTTTGCAGCTTTTGCACTAACTATAATGGATAGAGAGAAACAGTAAAAAAACAAAATGTTGAACACAATCAGATCTAAAAATCAGTCATCATAACTGAAAGTGTCAACCGACTTCTTATACTACTAGTAGTTACTTTTGCCCTGAATGATGATTTCTATCCATTTTTGTAAAAAACTATAGAAGAAACTTCAAAAAACAAAAGAATCAGCAAAATTAGACCTACAAATGTGTCAACATTGCTTATTTCTCTAAAGGTATAAACTGTAAACAGTAAAAAATATCATCAATAGAAAGACCTACAAAAATGCCTCATGAAACATGCAAACAATGCAATAAAGGAAAAAAATATTGATATCATAATGGCATATTCTATACCAGTGGGAGCCCCTTGTTTGAATTACAACAAAACAGCCTGTTTCCCTGTCAATATGAGGATAAAGGGACATTTTATTGCTGGGGATAGCTATTGCAATTACTTTACATCTATCACATGTATCATGCATAATACATTTTTAAAAAGCTTCTTTGCAGCCATTTGGCATGTTGGGACTAAATTTGGCTTACATATCCTTAGGGCTAATAAGGAGCTACTTTAAAGTTATGTTCTATGACCCCATACCAGGCTCATGGCCATTGTAACAAATTTCTTTTATTATTTTGTCTTGGACTAGATAGCTAGTAACTAGTAACATATTGCTTTCTCCATGTACTTACTATTTGAATACCGGGTAAGATGAAATAAGAAAACTTGAATTTGATTCAGAGTGCAAAGAACAAACAAACACAAGCTCTATTGGGCTTTAGTTCAAAAATAAAATGTTTCTCTTATTCTTACCTGATTTATACCTATTTTTTTTACAACCATTGTGTGGTTTGTTTGATCATGGTTCAATTATAATGTCAAATTTTCTTTATTTCCTGTTGTGATGTCAAGAAAAAAGGCGACCATGCCTCATGATGTCGCATATAAAGAACACAACTTTTTGCAGAACATTGAAAAAGAAGGATAAAGTTTGTCTATATATAGTCTAAAAACCATTCAAGAAACACATTCCACCACGGAACCTCATGCAATACAATATTTCTCAAGCTCACACTGAAGTGCTAGTTTTAAAAATGAAGATTGAACTGTTGTAAGTGAAGAAATTTTTTAGATTTTATAAATATATATAATAAAATATCATAACCATTGTTGAGATCAGTATGCTTGTATAGATTAGTTATATATATATAAGTCTACATTGAAAACAACTTTCAAACCTATATATATATATTAAATTTTTTCTGTCTTGTTTTAGGTCTGTAGCAATTCAAGAAGAACAGATGTATATATGTATATGTTGACCATGCTAAATTCCAGAACTATTATAACAGGTATGGTTTCTTTCATGAATGTGAGATTATTGAACATGTTATGGTTTTTATCTTTTTTTTCATTTTTTGCAGAAATGTTTTTAGATACAGAGAAATTGTGATTAGCAAAGATGTTAAGCACAATCAGATCTACAAATAAGTCAGAAATTGTCAGGAGTTATTGCCCCTGAATGACATTTTTATGCCCCCGCCGTAGCGGTGGGGGCATTAAGTTTTACCCTTGTCCGTCTACGTACGTACGTCCCAAAATTGGTTTCTGTTCTAGAACTTGAGTTTGTCTCAACCAAATGTTATGAAACTTATACACAATGCTTATTACCACAAAACACGGATCAATTTTGAATTTTGGTGGCGTCACTTTACCCGTTCTAGAGTTATGCCCCTTTATAAATGGAAAAATTGCAAAATTTTTAGTTTCCGTTCTCTAACTTAAGTTTGCCTCAACCAAATGTTATGAAACTTATAAATTTTGGTGGCGTCACTTTAACCGTTCTAGAGTTATGCCCCTTTATAAATTAAAAAAATATCAAAATTTTTCGTTTCCGTTCTCTAACTTAAGTTTGCCTCAACCAAATGTTATGAAAATTATACACAATGCTTATTACCACAAAACACAGATCAAGTTTGAATTTTGGTGGCGTCACTTAAACCGTTCTAGAGTTATGCCCCTTTATAAATGGAAAAATTGCAAAATTTTTAGTTTCCGTTCTCTTACTTAAGTTTGCCTCAACCGCATGTTATGAAACTTATACACAATGCTTATTACCACAAAACACAGATCAAGTTTGAATTTTGGTGGCATCACTTAAACCGTTTTAGAGTTATGCCCCTTTAGAAATAGAAAAATTGCAAAATTTTTATTTTCTTCTAAATATCAAGTAATTTTGAAATTGGAGTTATCTTCCTTTGTCCATGATTATAGTTGAATCAACTACAATCAATGCTTTATACAATGCAATGTTTAATTTTGACTTCCACTGATAAAACACTGATCAAGTTGAATTTGGGTAGTTTCACTATAACCATTATTGAGTTATGCCCCTTTATAAATCGAAAGATTGCAAAATTTTTAGTTTCCATTCTGTAACTTAAGTTTGCCACAACCAAACATTATGAAACCTATACACAATATTCATTACCACAAAACTAAGATCAATTACAAATTTTTGATTTCCGTTTTCTAATTTTAGTTTGCCTCAACCAAATGTTATGAAACTTATACACAATGCTTATTACTACACAATACAGATTAAGTACGAAATTTGGTGGCGACACTTTTACCATTCTTGAGTTATGTCCCTTTATAAACATAAAAATTGCTGAATTTTTCATTTCCCTTCTCTCAAACAAATGTTATAAAACTTGTACACAACCGTTCTAGAGTTATGCGTGTTTACAAATAGAAAAATTGCTGAATTTTTATACGACCGCAAAAAAATTTTTGTGGTCGTATATTGGTATGACGTTGGCGTCGTCGTCGTCGTCGTCGTCGTCCGGCGTCGTCGTCGTCCGGCGTCGTCGTCGTCCGGCGTCGTCGTCCGAATACACATAAGTTTTCGCACTCTAACTTTAGTTTAAGTGAATGGATCTCATTGAAATTTTACCATAAGGTTCAATACCACAAAAGGAAGGTGGGGATTGATTTTGGGGGTTATGGTACTAACAGTTAAGGAATTAGGGGCCAAAAGGGGCCAAAAATAAGCATTTTTGTAACTTCCAGACATAACTTGTGTGTAAGTGTATGGATCTCTCTGACATTGTACCACAAGGTTCCATATCACAAAGGGAATGCTGGGATTGATTTTGGGGGTAATTGTCTCCAAATTTTAGGAATTAGGGGCCAAAAAGGGGCAAAAAACAAGCATTTTTCTAGTTTCATGACAATAACTTGCTTGTAAGTGTATGGATCTTTATGAAATTGTACTACAAGGTTCCATATCACAAAGGGAATACTGGGATTGATTTTTGGGGTAATTTCCTCCAAATATTAGAAATTAGGGGCCAAAAAGGGGCAAAAAACAAGCATTTTTCTAGTTTCATGACAATAACTTGTTTGTAAGTGTATGGATCTTGATGAAATTGTACTACAAGGTTCCATATCACAAAGGGAAGGCTGGGATTGATTTTGGGGGTTTTCACTCAAAATTTTAGTAATTAGGGGCCATAAAAGGGCAAAAAAAACATGCATTTTTCTAGTTTCAGGACAATAACTTGTGTGTAAGTGTATGGATCTTTATGAAATTGTACTGCAAGGTTCCATATCACAAAGGGAAAGCTGGAATTGAGTTTGGGGGCGGTGAATCATAAGGGGGTTCAAAAAATTGGGGGGGGGATTTTTTTTTTCCTTTTTTTTCTTTAACATTTTCCATTTTAAATTGGTTATTTCTGATTTATATATAAAAGCAAATAATAATGATATGGTTTGAATAGGCATACATGTGAACCTCCCGACGGGAGTACAATAATCCCGTTTTCAGGGGTCTCCTCCCGACCTCCCGTTGAAGAGGAAAAAATCCCGTGTATGAAATTTTTCATGAATGAAAAATTTCTGCCCAACATATCATCTCAGGCATCTGGTGTAACTGACATTACCTGAAGTTATATTTTACCTGTAAATCAATTAACATGCATAATTATATGGCTTCACTTGTCAGCTTGGGTGTCAAACATACTGGTAAGCAACGATTTTTACCTCAGGCTAACTGCCGTTGTGTAACAAAAACTGTGTATTTATTGGGTTACTTCCCTTGATTTATCCTGTTTTAAGTTACTTTCCTTTTAATAATGAAAATTTTTAAAAGAATATAAATAAAATATAAATTGAACAAATAATCATAAAAGGATGGTTATTAAATGATTTTAAATGTCTTAGGACAAATAAAAAAATAATAATTTGAAAATTATTTGAGGATTCTATACTTCCTTTTAAGGCTTAAATTGAAATTTATATAATGACTATGACCCTAACTTTACAGATAGAATGAATTTCTGAGTTTGCAAATAAAAACTATATGCAAGAGAAAAAAAAAATAAATAAAACTATTTGCAGACAGCTAAAAAAATGTTCTGGTTGCAATGATTGTTTTATAGAATATGAAGTAAAAAATTTAAAGAACATACTGGAAAAAAACAATGTTAGATTGAACATGTAGAATATAAAGATGGAGAAACTTTATAAGTACAAGGGTACTATAAACATAATAAATTGGATGGAAAGTTGAAGAAAACACACTTTAAAAGACCATTTTTACAGCACACGGTTACATTTACAACAAAATTAATGTCAATTAAAAACCTCCTGATCTGAGTCCTAATCTCCTGACCAAAATTTCCCAATCTCCTGATCTGAGTTTCACAGTCCATCACATGTATGAATAGGTAAATTGAAAATTTTTAAGTTCTTAGACCACTTTCATTCTGTGTCAGAAACCTATGCTGTGTCAAATATTTAATTACAATCCAAATTCAGTGCTGTATCAAGCTTGAATGTTGTGTCCATACTTGCCCCAACTGTTCAGGGTTCGACCTCTGCGGTCGTATCAAGCTGCGCCCCAGCGGAGCATTTTATTAGTTTCTGTTCTCTACTTAAGTTAGCCTCAACCAAATTTTATGAACCTTACACACAATGCTTATTACCACAAAACTCAGATCAAGTTCAAATTTGGGTAGCGTCACTTTTACCATTCTTCAGTTATGTCCCTTTATAACTATATGATATGCAAGCGGGGGCATCATCTGTGTCCACATGTGGACACTATCCACATTTATTTTAGCTATTTTATGGATTTGTTTGGTTAAACAAAGATAGATTAGATAGCAACATTAGAAATCAAAAATGTTCAGCACAATATAATAGGATCGACAAATCAGTTATCATGTCCGAAATTGTCAACTGACCACTTACAGAAGTTATTTTCCCTAAACATGCTAAATGATGATTTTTATCCATTTTTGCATTTTTGTCAAAAATATAGGTCTGGAGTTGGAAAGACTTAAGATCATCAAAATAAGATCTGCAAGAAAGTCAACATGGCTAAATTATCATACTAGTTATAGGATTTTTTGCTATGAAAAGACTTTTTTTCCTTATAAATTTGAATATATAAGTATATAAACTGAACACAGTAAAATATGATCTTTAGTACAAGACCTACAAAAATGTCACAACAAAAGATCTACAAATAAGCAATCACAACTGATTGTAATGAAGAAAAATTTTTTTTTTTAAAATGGCATATTCTTTACCAGGTGAGATATTCAGACTCTTGGGAGCTTGTTTTTGAAAATGGAGCAAATCATTTCCCTCATTGTCTTAATAGATGCTACACCACTGTATTTTTTAAAGGGCACTGCATCAAGGATGTGGGAGCCCTATAGTTTTACTTTGTCTGTCTGTCTGTCCACAATTTTGTAAATGCAATTACTCCAAAGGGATTGGATAAATGGACATATAATAGGATTTTAACAAAAACTAATAAATAGATATATTTAGTTATTTCAAAGTGATTGACAAATTAAAAATTTTGAGAAGCATGTTCTTGTAGTAGGATGATATAAACAATTGATATAGAATTTAGGCATGATATGCATTCCAAATAATTAGTTTTGAAAAAATGATAAATTGTGAGAATCATATTTCTTGGTAGGATTTGAATGAAAAAAGATATTATTTGCTATTATGAAATGATTCTCTGTGTCAAAATTATTGGTTGCCCAACATTTACAATAATGCCTACAAAATGACATGTCATAGAGCTTGGCTTTTAACATAACAAATATATTAAACAAGAACACATCCTGAATTAAATTGATGGTGTCAAAATTTAAAAAATTTACAACCTATGAACAATTGCTTTTTAGGCATCTGTCTCTTTGCCTCACATGAAAATGTGTTAGTGGGGCCCTGGCTGACATATCAGTTTTCTCTAGTTTGTCTTTAGGCTAGTTTCTCTGTTGCTGTGAGTTGTGTATTGTACTTACTTACTTATCCTCTTCATCCCCAGTGGGACATAAAGCCACAATAAACTACCTCCACTTCTCTTTGTCCTAAGCCATGTACTGGGCTTGGCCCCAGGTGCAACCCATTGCTTCATTGTAGGTGAACTATAATTTATTATTTGGTCTATAAAATCATTCATTGTAATTTGTACATGTCAACTCAAAGATCCGAAAAAAAATTCACACAACTTCCGTCATTTTATTATGACTTGAAAGTTGGGGTCTTTTTTCAAACTGCTAAAAAATGACCCGAAATATTGGTGAAAGAATTTCTGGATCCTTGAACTTCAACTGACAGACGTCACCTGATCTTGACCTCATTAATTTTCATGATTCATGGATCAAAGTTAAGTTTTTGTGGAATTGATGAAGCATGTAGTAAAACATTGATATCAGAATGCTTTCAACATATTATTCAGATATGATCAGATACCTGCAGGCATGACATTTATTACATTTCAGCATGTTTGCTCTTGTTTTCATCATTTAAAATGCCCCATGAGATTATAAGAAATAAGGAATGATTTTCTTGGAAGGAGAGCAAGGACTTTTATCTTTTCATTAATGTGGAGTATGTAAACTTGTCAAATAAGGTTTGTGTCTAGCTGTAAAGAAAGTCACAGAATGCGAGACATAGGTATTACAATAAACTGTATAAATAAAGCTTGATATTTTAGAAGGTAGAAAAAATGAATGCGTGTGTTACGAAGTTTCCGTCTGCCTTAGGACCATTGTCCTTGACCTCATTTCCATGTTTCAGCGACTGCTTAAAAAATCTTTAGTTTGTTTTTTTGTGATGTGAATTTCTCACTCATGTTGAGTATTAGGATAAAAATATTTGTTCTATGGAATCCTTAATTTCAAGGTCTACATGTCGGTCAGTTAAGGTTCACCAGACTTCAAACTCATTCATGGATCAATGATCAAGGTTTAAGTTACATATTTAGGTCCGTTTCTATGATACTGTAAGCAGTAGGTGAACTATATTAGGTGTATGGAGTGATTGTAAGTTGTAAATGTCTGTCTAGCAGGTGTCATCTGACCTTGACCTCATTTTAATGGTTCATTGAATCATTGGTCAATGTAAAGTTTCATGGTAAGGTTTGTTTCTATAAGCAATAGGTTAAATATTTTTGGTGTATGGAATTATTGTAAGGTGTACATGTTTGTCTGCTAGGGTTCATCTGAGCTTGACCTTATTTTCATGGATCATTGATAATGTTAAGTTTATGTGATATTTGTAGTAAAACCTTAATCTTAAAGACTTAAAATCAATCATGATTACTAAAGCAGGTGAGACATTTCAGGGTGTGCACTCTTGTTCATATTATTAAGGGTAAGAAATAAAAGATGATACAATTTTCTTTGTCATTTTAGGAATAGTGGTATTTGAATTGTCAGATATTGGACCTTCTGCTACAGTGATAAAAAAATGTGGGAAAGCAGTCTTAAAGACAAAATAGTAGAAATGACAACAATCAAATGAAGAAATTAAAACAAAACCAAAAGTCTAATACTAGTACTGTGGAGCCAGAGGAGAATGAATTGTTGAATACCAGAGAGAAGTACCATAAAGAGATTGCTAAAACCAAGAGGAATATATTGGAAAGAAGTGAAAAGTCTGAGGTGAAAGAAGTCCAAGCCCAGGATAAACAGGATCACCTTGTTAAAGTTGTTGATATACAACATTCTACAGTTGGAAAAAGTGATGATGAGTCAAAATTTCATGAACTAAGAAAATATTTACTCTCTGATACGTCTGATAAAGAAAGTTCTCCTACAATTAAAGTAAAATCACCATCAAAGAAAAAACAGACTAGAAACAAAGACAAAATGCTTGACATAAGATCAGAAGCAGAGAAATCTCCGGTGAAAAATTTTAGATCCACTAGAGGGAGTTCTGTAGAAAAAAAGGACAAAGGATCTCTTTCTCCTACAAAAAAATCAAGTCCAAATGTGAAACTAGAATTGAACAATAAAGACAGTCCTATTATTGGGAATAAAACTCCCCTTTCTGCAGGTAAAAAGGTGAAACATACACCATCTCCAGAAAAGCTATCTGTGATAACACCAGAATCACCAAGAACAGGAAGTCGTCAACGATCACCAAATCTTAGATATGCGGACGATATGGTTATGTTTCCTTTGAAGTTACCAAAAAGGCAAATCTTTAAGAAAGACAGTAATACAGAAAATTGCAATAATAATGATGTGTCATTACCTAAAACTAGTCTTTCAACTGAATGTCAAACTTCACAGTTGTATTCATTACTGACAGGAACTATTCTGAAGAGTGATTGTACAAAGGCTAAAAATCCAACAGAAACAAACAATTCTGAGAAACAAGTATCAGATATTCAATCAGTTAATCAGAAAGTTGAAACCAATAATCTCAACGGTGACATATCTGACCGGTCGTGTGAAATGACTGATGCCGGAAATAAGACTGAAATAGAACCAACAGACACTAGTTCAAACAAAGTTTCAATAAATCAAGAGACTGATATCAAAGAAACCATTCCTGAGGCTGTAAGTGAACCTAAAGCTGAAAATTCTGACAAAGATGTCGGAAAGCTGGAAGCATTACAGAATTTGTCAAATGTGATAGATCAGATCATAGTAGAATCTGTACAAGAAGACATTCCAGCCTGGGCTGTCTATGAAGATAAACCTTTAAGACTACCAAGGAAACCCAGAAGGAAACGTAAATCATTACAAGAGAAAATAATTGATGGAGAATTAGGTTATACTGTTGTAACTACTATTAAAAGAAAGGGTCCTGTAGAGACACCAACCTCAAGTGGAGATGAAGATGATTTAAAAGGAAAACGTAGAGTGACAAAACCAATATTGAAAAGGTCAATAATTAGGATGTCACCTGCTCTTGGGTTGTTAGTTGGTCATGATGAAGATGGGTTTACAATGTTTGATGAACACAAGAAGTCAATGTCTGATAATGACGATAATGGAGAAAATGATGAAACTGAACAGAAAGATAGAAAAAAAGGAAAGAAAAAGGATTTGAATTTGTTTAAAATTGGAAAGGAACAAAAGACAAATTCTGATCAGAAACAAATGCCTACCAAGTCTTCCTCAACTGTTATATCTGTATCAAAACCAATTTCTACTCAACCTCAGATGAGGCTCATCGGTAGTGCTGGTACCAAAGCAACTATTGTGTCTGGATCCCAGTCAGTGCCATGCATTATTGTGCCAAGCTCATCAACCATTGGAGGACAAACATTATTAACTCTTCAGGGTTCAAATGCAAGTAATATAAGCCTCATTCCAAGTAACAAGATAAGTTTAATTGGTACACCTACCAACAAAGTTATACCGACATCTTCTATTTCTCCTGTCTCTCCCATTGGACCCCCTATGGTATCAATGATTCCATCATCTAATGTAAGACCCGTGCAACCTGTACAGGTGGTGACTTCTGTACAATCCATGTTGAAGACACCAACTACTAAAACTTTCTTCCGATTATCTCAGGGACAGCTTATCTCATCATCAGGACAACCACTTCTTTCTACAAAGGTACTGCCAGGAACCAAGGGCCAAATAATATCATCATCTGGGAGTTCACTTCTTTCTACAAAGGTTCTGTCAGGAACCACAACTACTGCACATACATTCACAACTACATCACCTGTAATCAGCCTTGCTTCACAGTCTAATCCTTTAAACATACCTCCAAATTCGAAAGTTCTTATTTTAAAAAAGTCTGATATTCCAAATACTTCTGGTACAATACTTGTTAATTCATCTTCTCCAGTCTCTGGAAGACCAGGAATGTCATTGTTGAAGAAGTCACCAGTCACTGTAAGCAAACCTGAGTTAGCATCTATAACAACTAGTTCTAAACCAGTTGTCACTGAAAAATTATCTGTACCAGTCGTGTCGCCAAAAAAACCTATAGATTCTGAGTCGGGTCAAAGTTCTACTGAAACTCTCGAAAACGAACAAAAATTGTTACCCCTGGATGATTTGATCTCAAAAGTGAAGACAAATATGGATTCTTCGGTACAGCTACCTAAAATATTTACATCTGATATTTTTATGGATTATGAAAGTGAAAACGATAGTGAAATGTCAGAAGGACATGATGATGATATGGAAGAAGAACAAAATGTTGCTAATGAAACAAAACCAGAAAAAAATGGACTTATGGACAAAAGTGAAATTGATGATTCTGTTGATTTACAAGTTCATTGTCAAGCGTCAGATAAAGGACAGATAACTGATCCAGAAAATTCAGTTATAGAAAATAAAGCTTCAAAGGAAGCAGAGGATATAGAAAAGTCACAATCGGACAAAAATATGTCAGTCAATGAAATTGCTGACAAAGAGAATGAGAGTAATGAAAATAATTTGTCTGGCACTGAAAAAGACATGGAAATTGAATCTAAACAATGTAAACAAGCGGATACAAATTTAGAAAATATAAAGGAAGATCAAAATGTGACTGTAAATTTAGGAAGTGGCTCAAGTAAAATTATTAAGTCTCCTGATACTGTAACTGTAGTTGAAGTTAAAATTGAGATTGACTCTAAGTATGTAGATAAACCACAGAAAGAAATACAACCAAAAACTAATGATGGAAAGGATAAGGTTCAGTCAGCAGAAGTCAAGGCTGATTCAGCTAAAGACCAAACTAATTCATTGCAAAGTAAATTGAAGAAGGCCATGGAGTCATTATCAAATGTGAAATCAGTTCTAGCTGCAAAAACTGATGCAAAATTTAACAAAGTGGACTTGAAACCTGATTCACAGCATGGTAGTGAAAAAGAACAAACAAATATGTCCAAGGAAAAAACACCTGAAACTGACAATCAGAATAAACATAAAGATTCAGAGACAGTGTGTGGTAATTTGTCTGATTTAGAAGATCATGGAGGAGAATCTAAAAGAAAAAATATTTTTGATTTAATAATGGAGGATTATCAGTCTCCAGGTAAAGAGGGGACAGTTAAAGAATCTGAAGGAAAGAAAAATGTTATAGAAATTCAGGAAAGTCCTGTGAAGAAATCACCAAATAAAGCTGTGAATTCAGTGGAAAAAATATTAGAAAGTCCAGAAAACATATCTGCAGAGAGATCTCTGTTAGATGTAGGGCTAACACCAAAACCTGAGACAAATGATATGGATAAAGATTCAAAAGAGGAAAAATGTGTTGCTATCAGTGATGAATTATCACATGATAACATTACTGATAAAAAAAACTATGACAATGCTTCAAAAACTGATGAGCAGTCTGAAATACGTGGGGATATCTCTGTAGTTAAGGAATCAAAGAACAATGATAATCTGTCTCAAATTGATAATAACTCCCAAGACGTTATTTCATTAGATGGATCAAGTAAATTTGAGAATGAAATGGAAGTTTCAGATGATGATATTGATAAGGTTCAAAATGAAATGGATACTGAGTCGGAATCAAAACATTTAACAATGGCCGATAAACTTTTAGCTAAATTCAAAAAATGGGAAGATGAAGAAAGTGTTCCTAAAACCCATATAACTAAAATACCTCTCAAACTCAAAATCTGTAGCAGTCCAGGCAAGTCATTTATTGTATCTTCATCACATAGTTCAAAGAAAAAGAAAATGACAAACATGAGGAAAGTAGATGGACGTCTTGTGCCTATGAATTCAACTCAACGAGAAATTAAAGAACCATTACCAATGACTGTCTTGTTTAACCCTGAAACAGAAATTAAAGATAAACTTTCAGCATTTAGTAGTCAGTCATTAGAAAACTTCATTGAAAATTTGACAATTGAGGTAAAAGAGGATGAAAAGGTTGATGATGCGGACGATGATTTTGATGATGGTGATGAAGATGATGATAATTTAGTTGATGACGATGAAGATGATGATGAAGATGAGGATGAGGACGATGATGACGAGGATGAAGATGAAAATGAAAATAATGAGAATGATAGTGATATGTCAATGGATGAACATGAGCCAGACTTTGATGAAATTGATGGTGTTTTGTTCATGTCATTTCCTAGTAAAAATGCACTTAAAGCACATGTTGAAGTGGAGAGAAGAACAAAATTGGGAACTGATGAGAACATGTTGTTAGGTATGACAAGAATGAGAAACATGAGACGGAAGCAAGGATACATCTTATCAAAATACAATAAAAAGGTTGGCAATAAAATTTTAAAAGATAAAGATAATATTAGTCAGAACTTAAGAGGAATGCATAAAACTTTAGCTAAATACCAAAGACTTTACAAACAGGAATTACAATGGTTAGACAGCCCTAATGAGGAAGGTACTTTCATGCATAAAACTAGTGATATAACAAAAATTAAAGGCTGGAAAAACAAGGTTGACAATGTAACTGATGATGTGGAAAATGCAAAAGCTGAAATTGAAAATGGAGGAAAGTTACATTGGCGAACTGAAGCACGCCTTGCAAAAAATCTACGTCCTGATGAGTTGAAAGAATATGGTTTGAATATAAAAAAGAAACGTAGAAAGAATATAATTTACACACAAAGGAAAGGAATGTCTAAAGGTGATCGATCTCAAAAGTCAGAAAATGGACAAGAAGAAATAATATACGAAGATTATTCAAGGTCAAATTCGAATGACTTGAATGACATACAGTTTATTGATGAAGACATAGAAATAAACATGACAAAGGATGGAGATACGGAAAGTCATGCAGATATAGCTGAAGAAAAAGATGAAAACATTATATTTCCTTCTGACGATGAGGTTCAAGATGAAGAACTGGTTCGAATATATGATAGAGAGAGGATGAAAGAGACTGATAAGGTGAAAAACTCTGAGAGGCAAAGGATGATTTTTAAATCAAAAACGCTGAAAATGAGGTTGAATTACAATTTACAAGATATTCAGGTAATCCGTAAGCTTGGAGGACATAATATTAGAAGGCGTAAAAATGCTGACGGGGAATATGAAGGGGATTACACGGTTATCATGGATACTTCTGCAAACAGTAGTAGGCCTTCAACACCAGAAATAACACAGCAGGAAGAGCCTGAAAAGGAGACACCCCCTAAAAAAGGACGTAAACCAAAATTAGAACTGATGGCCTCAGTCCTTACTGGAAATATGGCTACTGCTGCATGTACAGCCATACCTAAAGAATATTCACGTAAAAAGCCTGTTGCAAAAAAGATAATAAAGGAAACTGATGGTCTTTCCAAGTCACCTGAGTCTGGTCAGTTAACAACTTGTGATAAACCAGGTAATTCTTTTTATCATTTCCATGAAATATATTTAAGCAATAAGTTAATTTGCTTTAGCATTTAAATGATAAATATATGTGATTTATTGTGACAATTTGATGTCTTGAAAACGAATGCAATCTTCCTCAAATCATACTTCATATACACATAACATATCAGACTTGCTTCTCTTGCATGTAATTATAGACATTGATAGAGGTATTTCAATTCATTTGCACAAAACTAACATTTCTTGATTGCTTATAAAAGATTCATTTTAATTTTCATAATTTGATCATCTTCTGTTAGATTCAGAAACATTTACAACTAACGTATCTGTTGCATCTATCATGTCTACATGTACGTATACCGTCATACTCAAGCTTGAGATTTTGAAGTTGGCAGACATTATATGGATATAACAGACATAACAGATTTGTATAATATACCTTGATAGGCATGATAGAGAAGGAAACCTTTTGTTCAATACTTACCAAGTTTTCTTTTTGTTTTGGTGATGGTGTAAATAACAAAAAAGGACCTCTTATCTGAGAAGCTTCAAAAGCTTGTATCAAGTTTTTTCGGATTAGAAAAGATTGTCTTTGATAAAGAGAATGATAAATGCTGTAAAATTAGCGATTTTAAATAGGGTTTATATTTGCCAATTTTGAAGTTAAAATAAAAAGTACCTCTGCAAATTTGATCTTTTAGGAAGAATCAGCAAAAATAAAAATTTAAAAGTATAAATAAAACATTGAGCATGTTTGACATGCATTGGGAATTTAAACTCCTCCAAAATACAATACTTTATAGAATACATACAATATTTAACAATTACATCATTAAATGAATTTGAATTAGACATTATAAACATGATAGAGTAGTCTCTCAGATAACAGGTCATTTGTTTGTGGTCTTGTCCCTTACTTTGTTGTTTTACTTTGACAGATCATACTGAGTCCACTCAGAATAGAAGTAAGTAAAATAAGGTTTGGTAGGAACATATTTATTTACTGTAAAAGTATTCTATGTGTGGCATATAAATTATTTTCATCATGCTGAATAACTAAATTGGTTATTATTTTGTTGCAAACATGAAAGGAAAAAAATCAGAACTTCAAGACAATGTTAAAAAACCAATTTACAACACCACACATATGAGAGTACTTTAACAGTATATAGAACATAATATCAGAAGAATCAATTAGAATTTTAAGAAAAAGGGCAAAAGGTAGTTTTTATCTCACCTGTGACGAAAGAAACAGAAGGGCGAGACATAGGTATTGCTTTTCCGGCTCATTGTTGGCATCAACAATTGTAAAGTTTTCTGCTTAAGTCTGTTTGAAATGAACTACTTGTGATAGATCAATAATATTTTGTATGTATTTGCATTACTATCAGTACATATCAGTTTGATGACTATTTTGAGGCCCTACCTCTGAGGCCTTAGGTGATCGTCCTGTGACTTTGAATTAATTAGCAATTTTCAATGTTAAGTTTTCTGCTTAAGTCAGTTTGATAGGAACTACTTGTGATAAATCAATGCTGTTTTGTATGAAGTTGCATTACTACCAGTACATATCAGTGTGTAGACTATTTTGAGGCCTTGCCCCCTAGGTCATTGTCCAGTGACTTAATTAATTACTGTAAATTCAGAAATTATTGAGATGTTTTTATTATTGTGAAAAATGTGACAGGGTTATAATCGCAAAAATTTAAACTCGCATTTTGAAATTTTTTATATGAATTAAACAGGATTTTTCTCAATATCTCAAAAATTAAAATCACATTTTAGTCTAAAATGACAAAATCTCAATAATAAATGCAAGCAATAATTTCTGAACTTACTGTAGTAATTTTCAATGTTAAGTTTTCTGCTTAAATTAGTTTGATAGCAACTACTTGCAATAGACAACAATATTTTCTATAAAATTACATTACTGTCTGTAGATCTCAGTTTGTTAACCTTTTTGAGGCCCTACCCACTAGTTCATGAATTACCGGTAGTTAGCAATGTTGCTGTCCATCAGATTGTCTTTTTCTGAATTTTATCCAGACAGGCAAGACATTTCTCTGTGTCAACAGTTTACTACATTAGTCACAAAAAAATGTCAGTGTGACAACCACAAAGGTTTCAAAACCTCATGCAACAAGAAAATAGATTTAATACAAAACTTTTTTCATAAACATTTGAAACTCTCTATTTTTTGCTGCTAAATGAAAAGAGGGATTTTTTCGTTCTGTTTTTGAATTACTGCATTTTGTCTTTATATCTGAAGGCCAGACACATTATAAAAGATGTCATCAGATATGATACCTATACATTTTTAGCTGACTTGGTCAAAGGTTAGCATTGCCATTAATTTGCACCTCATTTCCATCAATCAACATTTCACATTTCCATCATGTCTTTGAGAATAACAAAAAAGAATCCAACCATTTTAGCAGAAAAGTTTATTACAAGGTCCTTTCCAAATGCTGTTGTACCCATGTTACAAATTAAGGTGATAATCATATATTTTTTTACCAGTCTGTTAGTCATCTTGGTTTCAGGATGATAAATCTAATTCTTTATATCAGATTGAAGACTTTATTGGATATATGGACACATATAATGAGTAAAGGACACTGATTCTAAATTCAAAGTCAAAGTAGAATGCAATAGGTGTAGAAAAAGGGTTTTGGGGAAAATAAGAGCCCTTACATGGGATTAAAACATTACTTAGTAAAATAATCACATGAAATAAGTGGAAGATCTATATTAATTTTGATGTCACTATGTCTTACGGTCAATGTCATAGATACATGCTATGTAAATAGGGTTTCCAGATTATTCTGCTAGATCTTACATGGGATTGGAACCATACTTTAATATGTGGTCACATAAAGTGAGTGGAAGATCTCTATAGCTATAGATTTTAAGATCTCTTTGTCAAGGGCATAATTACTGGAAAAAAACCTGCATCTGTATATGCCCCCGCCGCGGCGGAGGGAACATTAAGTGTTACCCTTGTCTGTCCGTAAGTCCCAAAATTAGTTTCCGTTCTCTAACTTAAGTTCGGCTCAACCAAATGTTATGAAACTTATACACAATGCTTACTACCACAAAATACTGATCAAGTTAGAATTTGGGTTGCTTCACTTTTACCGTTCTTGGGTAATGTCCCTTTATAATGTTACATGTATATGCTAGCGGGGCATCATCTGTGTCCCATGGAGATATTCTCCATTTTTATTTTTAATAATTCATGATGATTCTTAAATGGGTTAGGAACCAAACTTGTATATATATTTGTGATCCCATATGAGAGGAAGATCCCTATGGATTTTGAGGTCAATATCTCAAGGTCACGGTTTTAAATATACACCAAAATAAGTTTAGAACATCAACTCATGAACCTTACAGGCCATTAAAACTAAACTTGATATGTACAATGAATGGTAACATATAAACATGATAAAGGGGAGGGGATCCCCATTGATTGTCAATGTCAAAAACGCAGTTCCTGAAAATGAATTGAAATTTGTGAACAGTAAGGACATTACCATATATTGACAGAAAAATCTCTATTTCATTAACTGAATAGCAACGAAGTCCAATTTGACTTATATGATGAATTGTGTCCTGGTATCCTGCATTTCAGCTGGGCCTGTGGACATCACCATTTTAATTCCCAGGCAGAATCTTTTGAGCTGTAACAAAATATCTTCACATAGTGTGCTTGATAATGCCCATGGGGTGATGAAGATCCCAATTGATTCTGCCATCAAGGTCACAGCAGCTATTGATAGACTGAAATTTTGGCAAAATTTGGTTTCAGACTCTTCGATCTGAGCCTATTGAGAAAATCATAGTTTGATTATTATTAGTATTTCATTTATTATTGATTCAGTTTATATCTTGGTTTACAACAAAAACTATGGATGTATGAACCAATTTCCTGGCAAGCAGCCAATCCTCTTGTAATGTTTTCTAGAGTTATTTTAAATAATTTAAGTAAGCTTTGGGTTAAATCCAAGTAAACTTAAATCATTTGTTTAAGGTAAATGAACAAACTATTTTACCTGAGCAATATTGATTTCCATAAATGATTTTTGAATTAGCTTTTGAAAAAAATCAAATTCAGTTGTCAAGTGGCAAGAAAATAGTGAATACATGTATTGTAAATAGTGTAAAGAAGTTTAAGTTTCAGCATGTTCAATGACATAAATGTTATGGATTGAATATTACAGCAGAATGATTATACTTCATCAAAATCATAAATTCACGGTCTCACAAAGTCAAACCACACAGTCAAACTTCAGTTTGCATGCACAGACTTCACGATAAACTTTTAAATCTACAGGCCCAGAGCTCAATTTTTGGAAAATTTTAGTTAGATTCAGTTGGCCTGTAGAGATGATTTTTACAGACCCGAAAGCAATTTTACAAGCCTGGGTTGCTGGGCCTGTGGTTAAGTGTGAAGACTGCATGCACTTGGTGATCAGGTGTCAAATTTCAATATTTAAAAAAAAAAGAAATCCAACAATATAAAATAAGGATATGGTATGATTGACTATGAGAGAACTATCCAACAGGGTCCAAATGACATGGATTTAAGCAACTATAGGTCACTGTACGGCCTAAAAACCATTAGAAATTATTAATTTTTAACTGCTTTAAGGAAAAGTTAAATGTAAATTTCTCACTGGTGGCTAAAACTACTTGTTTCTTGTTTAAACACAAAGAACTAAGCTGTCAAACACAAATGCAAAGGAACTGGCTAGGTTTATTCTTTATATCATTAAGACAGTGGTAAGTCATTATCTCTATTCTTTCAGGTTGTCGATATGGATGTATATGTCATTTGTGCATGTTTACTGATCAAAGTCCAGAAGCTGATCGTAATGTTCTCAAATGTGAAAAGGAATATTGTCGTCTTGGCTGCATCTGTGATAGTATTGAAGCACATAAGGAGAAAGACAATGAACCACATTGTGGAAAACCAGATTGTATGGTTGTATGTTATTGCGATGATTTGGCTATGGATGAATCGAAAAATAAAAAAGTTGATGAAGATTATCGCTTCACTGGACAAAAGAAAACTGCCAAGTATGCAGCTCTTCCTAAGAGGGAGTCAACCTACAGACTGGCAAAAAACCTTGATGCAGTTAGTCGTAAAGCCATGTTGTATTACGAATCTAGTGAGATGTTTGTTGACCAAAAGAAAACAAGACGTCGTAAGAGCAAGGTTAACTTTTTTTTTTTAACTATTCATTGAGATTAAGATTTTATATTCATGTAAAAGATTTTCATTTTTATTTCTTTGAAATACAAAACTTCTAATATAATATTTATCTACTTGTAAGAATTAAATTTCAAATTTTAAAGGAGGAAGTTTGTTGATCATTTGAAGTATATTAAATTTAACAGTAAAATAGAAGTGTAAAATCATCTTTCTTTAGTCATTTTTGTGCTGAGTTGAGAGTATATAATGATATTCATACCTGATTTTCATGCCTGTTATCCTTTAGTCTTGGCTTTCATCATATCAGTGTCAGTACCCTTGCATTGTCACGTAACCAAATCTTTTGAAATTTTTTCACAGTATCACGAATGGTAGGGTATAGGTTCAGTTCTGTGGATTTGATATTCGCCATTAAAAATAATTTTCATTATACCTCCTGCAAACTGTGGGTATATAGGAATATCCCTGTCCAGTGCCTTGTCATTGCAATTGTTAAACGGCTAGATGGATATTGATGAAATTGTTGTAGAACACAACCTGATGATGTGTATGTGAATGAAATCCCTATCCTATATGTTAAAGGGGGATAGATGAATTTACTTACTTCAATATACTTATTGTAGTGTGGGGCAGTGGGTTTTATTTTTAGTTCACTCACAGTTTTAGTTTTAAAAATCGGTCTGCAATATGTTGGGGAGCTGTCTCGTTATGGTTAACTTCGCATATTTTTAATTGTGTAAAATTGAAAATAGAAAAAATACTGAGCATAAACACTTGAAAACCAAAGGTAAACTTTGGAAAGTTATGCAGCTTCAGTTCCTCATGTCATTTTTGCTTTGTTGACACATAAAGGAAAAAAATAAGCAAATAAAGAGGAAACTGCTGTCCCTGATAATCAGATTAGACCATTGGTTATTACTGTAAGAATATGTTTATCCATTCCATTTTGACCCATGCAGGAGATGAAACTTTTTTGTTCAACTGGTATAATTAAAATTGTTCCTTTCTATATTCCAGGAATCAACAGATTCTCCACAAGTATACATGGATGTTGATGTGGCTGATTATGAACCCCTTCAACAGGTGTCCACAGGTAAGGCCAAAAAAAATATATGCTTGTTTCCTGCCTATCGACCCACCCTGTTTGATTACAGACCCTAAAATATTGCCTTTCCAAAAAATTATTAAAAAAAAAGCATTAAGATCCTTATTTGACTACAAATACAGTTTACACTGGATTATTCACTAAAATTTGTAATAAGAGTGACACATAAATAGTGTAGAACTTGTCAAAAATTGAAAATTTTAAACATATCAACTATCATGCGCAAATTACCAGATGTGCAAATCTAAAACAGGATCAAATTTGGAGAAAACATGAAACTTTCCGGATTTTGTTAACATGCAAATATAAAACAAACAGAAAAATCAAATAAAATCTTGACCAACCGACCGACCAACCTACGATGTTTTATAATGGTAGGAAACAGACATATATTGTTTGGCTTAATTAAACTGTTGAAATGCTTCAGTCAAAGTATAAAAGAACAACACTGGTTAACCTAAATTAGTAGAAATTTCTAGATTTCTATCCTATTCAAAGACTACTAAAAGTGAATGGATGCAATACGTGTCTTGCAAAAGTTTTTTTTATGCCCCCGCCGTAGCGGAGGGGGCATTAAGTTTTACCCTTGTCCGTCTGTACGTCCGTACGTACGCCCAAAAGTTGGTTTCCGTTGTCTAACTTCAGTTTGCCTCAACCGATTGGTATGAAACTTATACACAATGCTTATTACCACAAAATACATATCAAGTATGAATTTTGGTGGCGTCACTTTAACCTTTCTCGAGTTATGCCCCTTTGCAATTGGAAAAATTGCTAAATTTTCGTTTCCGTTCTCTAACTTTAGTTTTCCTCAACCAAATGCTATGAAACTTGTACACAATGCTTATTACCACAAAACACAGATCAAGTTTGAATTTGGGGGCGTCACTTTTATTGTTCTAGAGTTATGCCCCTTTACAAATGGAAAAATTGCTGAATATTTTGTTTCTGTTCTCTAACTTTAGTTTGACTCCAGATCAAGTTTGAGTTTTTGTGGTGTCACTTTAAACGTTCTAGAGTTATGCCCCTTTACAAATGGAAAAATTGCTGAATTTTTTTTTTTCCATTCTCTTACTTAAGTTTGCCTCAACCAAATGTTACGAGACTTATACAAAATTATTATTACCACAAAACTCAAATCAAGTACAAATTTGGATACCTTCACTTTTACCGTTCTTCAGTTATGTCCCTTTATAACTTTATATGATATGCAAATGGGGGCATCGTCTGTGTCCCATGGACACATTCCCCATTTATTTTGTTTTTATACGCCCGTTTATGGGACATATTATGGTATATCGTTGTCCGTCTGTCTGTCCATCTGTGGTCAACATGTCAGACAATAACTCAAAAACGCTTAACAAATTTTCACGAAACTTTGGTGAATTGTTTATATCTGCTGATATAAGCTCCCTTTTGATTTTTATAAATTTTAGATTTCTGAGTTATGGGATTTTATTCATAAAAAAGGGGGGATTTTTTTAGTTTTTGGACATGAAATTTTGGTGACTGCTTTATATCTATTAAGATAAGATCCTTTATTTTTTTTTTTTAGAGTTCTGATATGACATTGAGGAGTTATGGAACTTTATTCATTGAAAAAGCAACAGGTGTATCATGCACTCATGGCACAGCTCTTTATTAGCTATCCTAGCAAGCTCTTGCTATTAACTTTCCACTTATTATATGGCATATACAAGAATTACTTGACCATAACTATTTGAAGAATATCTAGCTTTATATCTTATCTGATAACCAAGCTCACTAGCCAACATGGCTGTTGTCAATATTAGTCCAACATATAAGTAAAAAGAACAAAATGATTTGCTTTTGGAAGTGTTTTCCTGCAAACATTTGGCTGATTTTCTCTTCATGTATATATGCAAGAAGTACATGATTTTACTTTCAAAGGTAATATGGTGTTTTGCAATGACGTTAGAGGCTGAGGGATGATATTTTGGAGAGAAATGTAAATAATTGATGATCATTTAAAAATGGTGTTTTTTTGGCTATTGATTAAAGAAGTGTTAAATAAAGAAAAGTATATTTGACTGTTCAGAATAATTGTCATTCTTGCAGGTTTAAAGTGCAAAAGGAGTAATATTTTTATTAAAACTTTTACAGTACCATCAAAATCAAGAAAGCAGGAATTTTTAGTGCACAGACCAGTACCTATAAAACCAAAGCCACAGTTGTCCTCAAGTAGTTTGGCCGGGAAAAGAGATGAAATGGTAAGTAAACATCAATATTTTAAGCATTGATAATAGCACTGTTTAGACAAAGAGGTGAACAGTAAGAGGTCGAGCATTTAAACAGCAACCTTTGAAAATGTTATTGGAACAGCATAAGAATTTTTTAAATGATTAGATGTACTCAATTTTTAGCAGTCCTATTGGCCTTATTCTTGAAGTGCATTGTACATGGTGAATGTCAGGTAGGGAAAAGTGCAATTCCGTCTTATTGTATGGTGAATGTCAGGTAGGGAAAAGTGCAATTCCATCTTATTGTATGGTGAATGTCAGGTAGGGAAAAGTGCAATTCCATCTTATTGTACATGGTGAATATCAGGTAGGGAAAAGTGCAATTCCATCTTATTGTACATGGTGAACGTCAGGTAGGGAAAAGTGCAATTCCATCTTATTGTACATGGTGAACATCAGGTAGGGAAAAGTGCAATTTCGTCTTATTGTACATGGTGAATGTCAGGTAGGGAAAAGTGCAATTTCATCTTATTGTACATGGTGAACATCAGGTAGGGAAAAGTGCAATTCCATCTTCTTGTATGGTGAATGTCAGGTAGGCAAAAGTGCAATTCCATCTTATTGAACATGGTGAATGTCAGGTAGGCAAAAGTGCAATTCCATCTTATTGTACATGGTGAATTTCAGGTAGGGAAAAGTGCAATTTCATCTTATTGTACATGGTGAACGTCAGGTAGGGAAAAGTGCAATTTCATCTTATTGTACATGGTGAACGTCAGGTAGGGAAAAGTGTTATTTCATCTTATTGTACATGGTGAACAACAGGGGGGGGAAAAGTGCAATTCCATCTTATTGTACATGGTGAAGAAAAGAAATAAATTGTATTTTGTGATCAACTACAGTTTTCAACCCAGGCTTTAAAAATTTCTATTGGGAATGCATATTCATTGAAGTTGTGCACTTCTTTTTATTTATTTATTTTTGGGAGTATTATTAAATATATTCTCAGAGAAGTGTATCCAATTTTTGTTGTCAAAAATTACACTCCACCTTCACTTCAATCCAAGAACCTTAAACTTTTATGAAAGTATTATACATTTAAATTCACATTTGAAGATTTTTTTAGGCTTTTCCAGATGATAAAAACCTAGTTAGTTTTCAGCAATATTCCTGATGGAAATTGCCCCTTTTGTGTAATAAAATTCCTCTACAGTTTTTAACCTTGAACCCCTTAAATTTTCTTGATTGTTTGTATGTAGGAAAGTAGATCAATTATAAGACGCCTTCTTTGATAAAAGGCGCTGATTTTTTTCTGTCACTATTTTTTCTGATTAAGCTTTATATATATCTTCTTGGAGTCTTGTTATCTGTAGAAATCAGTTGGTATCACCTAACCTTGACAAGCATTTAAACAGAAGCTCCATAAAGCAGAATAATACTTGTTTCATCACAATTTACATGCTCTATAAATTACTTACCACAGTTGCCGTTTTAATCTTTGACAGATTTTTATCAGTAAAAATTGTAATATATTGTATTTTTTCAGATTGATTTTAGCAATATAAAGAATGAGATATCAAGTCAAGAGAGCTGGAACTTGTCTGACTTGTCTGAGTATGATGATATAGAAGTTAATTCTGATGAGGATCTACAAACTACCACATGTGCTCGTACAGCTGTATATAATGCTGTCAAAAGGTAAGCAATGGAGATTTGGAGAATTTAATTACCATAATTTGATATCAATTAAATTTTTGAAGAATGGACTCCTGTTAAAACAAACATCTTGATCATTATCTGTTTATTAATCATTTTGTCAACTTAGAATAACTATAAAAATATCAAACACATTTATACATCCCTTAGAAACAGGTAGAATGCTAGGAAAGCCTAGCATTTCTATCTTGTTTATAGCCAATTTCAAATCTCTTTATACGCTATTAAATCTGTTCCAAATGAAATATTTTTGGTAAAAACACAACAATAAAAAATTGAATTGGACAATGTTAAAATGTATGAATCAGCATTCTTTCATGATGTCATAAATAGAAAAAGATAAGAGCACATTATCTAAGTCACAAACAAGGCTTTATACAGTCACTGCATACAGCCAAAATTTTCACTCAATGTAAAAAAAAATGTTTAGTAAGAAAACAGCTATTTGAAACGACAAGTAAATTTTTAAACACAAACTCTTATAAAATTGAGAATGGAAATGGGGAATATGTCAAAGAGACAACAACCCAACCAAAGAGCAGACAACAACCGAAGGCCACCAATGGGTCTTCAATGCAGCGAGAAATTCCCGCACCCGGAGATGGTCCTCAGCCGGCACCTAAATAAAAATTGTGTACTAGTTCAGTGAAAATGGACGTCACACTAAACTCCAAAACATATAACTTAAACAAGCCTGATCAAAAACAAAACATCTATTGTTTTGGTGTACAAGATTTTCCTTAGCTTGCAGTTTTAATTCAAATTCAAAGTAGTACTAAAGAATTGATAAAAACTTTCTTTTTACAGAGAAAAGCCCCAGTTAGGAATTACATGTAACTGTGGGAAATTAAGTCATGGTAATCAAAGGTGCAGTGCTGATGATGGAAAATTCAACATTCCTGAAGATGTGAGTAGTGTATGGGTTTTAATATTTAACAACAGTAGAGGGATGAATCACTTAAAAAGATTTAAATTTAGAAGAAAATTATTGTCCATTTGATGAAAATGATACATATCACACAAAAACAAAGCTCACAAAAGGAGAAAGAAGTTTAGTTAGTTTTCTTCATTTCAGGCACATCACGGCTTAAGCAGTCTTTAACACCAGTTACATGAAATCATATAGATTTACGCTGTTTTTTTTTTCTCACTGAAACAAGTGAGAGAAACCATCAATAAATTTTAGTATTCAATTGTTGTGTATATTTGTAGATTTTGTCAAGTGGAAAATGGCACACACAGTGGATTTGTCTGAGAAGTAAAGGACACTCATTGGACGATACTACTGCTGAAGGTTTACGTCTGTTAGAAGTTATATCAAACTGCAATTATGAGGACTTCAAAGCTAAAATTTTATCTCGTCTGACGTCACATATATCACATTCGGAATATCCTCCGTTGAAGAATTTTCTTGTGGGCGAGTTTAAAGTATCAATCTTGCCAAAGTCAAACAAACCTGCGATTATTCCACCAGAAGTGATGGCAAAACTACCAAATTCTGTTTATTCCATTAGAATTCAAATAATAAAGGATCCATATGTATCAAATCCTCAAATAATAAATCTTATAGATGATACAGAGATCAATGTTAAAGAAGTCAAATCAGGACATATATCAAAAAGTGCATCCAAACTAGGAAATAACTCGTTATCTATAGTCACACCAGTGGAGAACAATAGAGCACAAAATGCTGGAAAGAAATTAGATAGAAATTCTGAATTAGCAAAACATTTACAGTCGGATGTACATCCAACGATGACCCCAATAACCTCATCCTGTACTATTGTAGCAGGTGGAATTTCTGGACTAAGTCAGTTACAGATATCACGACCCATAGGGAGTGTGTCAGGATTCTCACCTGCTCAAAAGCCTATTTTACCAGATAATGTCTCTAGTAAAAATGTGTTACCTGGTAGCATTGTAAAGAGCATTCCTGTGTCTCTTTCTGGTCCAGGTGTAGTAGTATCAACTGGTAGCAATGTAAATGCCATCCCTGTATCTCTTTGTGGTCCAGGTATGGTAACTCCAGTTATGCTGATACCTGATAACAGTGTGAGCTTAGGAAATGCAGTAGTTAAAGCAGCTGTTCCAGTTACACAACCAATGGCAGTTGAAGTTTCATCAACTTTGACATCCTCAACATCTATTGTTATGGCAAACAAATATCAAAACTTCCCAGGTTATGTGGTCAAAGGAGTAACTTCGATTCCAAATATCAGTCCTGGCATTACACTAAGTAGTAGTTTGCAAGATCAACAAAATTTGAAACATAAACTTCCAGACCAAACAGATATTTCTGACCAGAAAAAATTAAGGATAGAAACTTCTCTGGGTCAATCAGTTAATACAACAGGGTCATTGATACAACCAATACCAAGTGTTGGTGAAAATGCTGATACATCCATAGGACAGGTATCTGTTTTGAGATGTGTAGTTTGTAATAATATACTGACAGCCGAGGATATAACCAGCTGGGTCTTATCTCAGGATAGTATTCAGGAGAAAATATGTGTCAAATGTAAAAGTGGACAAAAAGTGGAAACCCCCGTACTCCAACAAAAATCATTATCTCATCCTCAAAGCAGATCTTCTCCAATTGTAATAGATGCAGACAATTCAAACAGCACACTGGCAGAAAATATAACACAAGATGTTGAAATGGTTGAGAGTAAAGAGTTGGTCAAAACTATTGAGGCTGAGGCAAGTAAGATTAGAAGTATTGTGAAAGAGGTTGATGATTCAGCACTGCAGCTTGATCTTGTCCAGGATGATGGTGAGTCAGCAAATTCATTGCAAGACGAAACATTGCAAAAACATTCAACAAAATTTGAGGAAAATCAGACAAAAACTATAATTGATCTTAGCAGTGATGAAGAAAATACCACAGATAAGTTATCAGATAAAAATGATAAAAGTGTAAAGAAAACAGAAAATGTGATAGAAAATCAGTCAGAAAATGAAGAAGATGAATTGGAGGCAGCCATTAGAGATGCACAAGATGACTATCGGGACAATATAGTAAGAAATCTCAGTGATGATAATGAATCTCAGGAGGAGGAGTTAAACAAAAATACCTCAGCTCCAAAGTCAAGTGTTATTGTTATTGACGATGAAGATGATGATGCTGTTACGTTAGAAAAACGTAAAGTTGATCATGGTGGATCTGAAGGATCAGCAGCCAAGAAGTCAAAAGATGAAGATGAGGATGTTGATGTCATTAGTTTCTCAGAGGTAGGTCTTTGGAAGATTGATATAGTTTTATGTCTCTTCTATTGAAATCAAAATATAAAAATAAGAAGATGTGGTATGATTGCCAATGAGACAACTTTCAACTAGAGACCAAATGATATAGAAGTTAACAATGTTTTATATTGTCCAAATAAGTATATACATATCTTTGTCCTTTTATTTTACATGTTTAAGAAATAATTCATGGTCAACGATCATGGTTTATTAGAAACTATAACAAAGGTTTTGTTTTCATACAATCTTCAAAATAATGTTTTTTCTGTGTTAAAATCTTCAATAAACCATGACAATATGAATTATTTCCGTCTTAATAGGATGATTTAGAACATTTTTGCATTTGTGCAGACATCTAAGTGCAAGATACCTTAGAAAGGAAGCCATTTTGAATTTCGATGAAGCTAACTTTTTAAAAGATTTTCTTGAATTTTTTGAATGATGATGAGACCTACTGACATTTGTAAGGAATGTTGTTTCTGGTTTTTAGCTCACCTGTTCCAAATGGCCAGTGGCGATGAGTTATTGCCATTATTTGGGGTTTATAGTCATCTGTTTAATTTTACAATAATATTTTCCTCTGAAACTATTGGGCCACTCTCCTAGACATGCAATAATTTAATACCTTTTTTTTCCTGCAAAGCATGAAAGATTTATCTGTTTCAAATTTTTTATTGTTAAGATATGCTCCTCCTATAAGATGAGAAGTTTTTAGTTTAAATTGTTTTTTTTTAATGCAAAGAGGGTTTTGAATCATCCAAATATGGGCAGCTGGATTTAAAATCTTCATTCTGAGCTGCTGATTACTTGAAAATGTTAATTGTAAAAAGGACATGATAAGAAATAAAAATAATATTATTTATGTTTGCAGGGAGATTCTTTTGAAACTTCACTATCTGAGTCTGATATTGTGACTTCTTCATGGCACAATTCTTCATGTTCTCTTAATAACGCCATGCTGAGAAAGAAAAGAAAAGCACAGTTAGATTTAATACAGAATAAACAGCTTTACCAAGCAGAAGTTAAGGAGGTAAGTGGATAACTTGTCATATTAATGCTGTTTCTTTATTTGATACAATTAAGAAAAGAAAGGCACTTTTATATTTGTGTTTTCCGAAAGGTGATAAATCAATCATACAAACTTAATTTGTTTCCTCGTAGGTGTTGTTCTTGATGCCAATTCACCAGGAATGAACATAGCCAAACAATATAGCTAAAAGTTGTCTAAATATAACCATTAAAATACATCTTTGCCTGCTGGACAAGAGATGCAAACTTTTGATATTCCACTCTAATGGAGGGTATACTCTTATACCCCTGTCTGTCTGTCCTTGTTTCCTTCAATCTATCCAAAGCAATTTCCATCATATTTTTCTCAGGAAATAGTATTGGAAATAAATTTAATATCAAGCTATATGTGAGCACGCTATACTGTGATGCATTTTCACATTCATTGTCAACATCCTGTTCACAGAATACTTGTATGTTCTTACGCATAATGGCAATGTATTAAATTTTGTTGCATTTTTTTCTGAAACTACAAATCAAGCTTCATGTGACCATGCTATACCCTGTGATGTATTTTCACACCTATCACTCATCAACTTCCTGTTAACTGAATACTAATAACTAGAGTATCTTGAGTGACCAAAAGCTCACAGTTCAACTTTTTATGCCCCACCTACGATAGTATAAGGGTCATTATGTTTTCTGGTCTGTGCGTCCGTCTGTCCCGCTTCAGGTTAAAGTTTTTGGTCAAGGTAGTTTTTGATGAAGTTGAAGTCCAATCAACTTGAAACTTATTACACATGTTCCCTATGATATGATCTTTCTAATTTTAATGCCAAATTAGATTTTTGACCCCAATTTCACGGTCCACTGAACATAGAAAACGATATTGTGAGTAGGGCATCCGTGTACTATGGACACATTCTTGATTCTTACAGAAATGACATGTATTTCTGATAAACAGTTTGCAAATTTATATTATATCAATATTTTCTGGCATCACTCATTTAAGAAGAACCTTTACAGATTATATCACATTTTTGGTATGTTTTGCATCTATGATTTCATTTTCTCCAAGTCATGTTAAAAGAAAAAAAAATCACAGCAATTCTTACTTTTTCAGGGATTTGCAAGTTCAGAAGATTACAGAAAGTATAAATTAACAAAGTATGTATTGTGAGAAAAAACGTTTTTTGTTTTCTATTTACAATGCAGGTATATAGTTTTCCACAAATCATCATATAACACTATTAGTTTAGGTTTACACAAAGAGAGGAGTTTACAACACAAAATACTGGTTAAATTGACAAAATTAAAAATGACATGTTTTTAATTAATTTCGCCATTCTATTTTCTTATAAAAATGAAAGAAGAAAAATATGAAAAGATGATGTCATTGATTGATACTTGAAAAATATGATAAAAGCAGTTACTTTTAAAGCCACATAATTATCAGAAAAGAAATACACGCCACATATTAGTAAAAGGAGTTCAAACTCGTCCTGAACATGCATGAAATATTTACCACTGGACGTTAAGCAACCAACAATCAATCAAACTAAATAGAACCTTACCAGAAAATCAACTTTAAAAAGCCTTCTCTAAAACTACTGTGCCAACTATGCCAAACTAGTTCCAGTGTATACTGATGATTTAATATTTTGTCCATTGTTTATACGATTAACAAACATGCCTTCTAAATTGAAACATTATTATGGTCTTATTCTATATGAATACAGAGCCTAGTGAGACCAGATGTTGATATATAGTCTTGTAATGGTTACCTTTCAAGATTATACACAATTTTGTTGGTTAAGTTTAGTTTTACACATTCTTCATGTTCTGATAAATTAAGATATACAAAGGATATTCAGGTGTTCAAATTACTGTGGGTCATAGGTCCTGGACCTGTCATTTCTTGGAGGGATTCTTTCATTTTTGTCTCTTTAGCGACAAAAGTCATCACAGAAGGTGAGACACATGGTGTTGCTTTTCCAGATGAGTCGTCAATGCAGCATCAACAATTGTCAGTTTGATAGGAACTTTTGGTGATAGATCAATGATATCTTATATAAAGTTGTATTACTATCAGTACGTATCAGTTTGACGACTATTTTGAGGCTTTTCCCCATAGGTCATGGTCCAGCTACTTTGAATTAATAAGCAATGTTGCTGTCCATCAGATTGTCTTTTACTGAATTTTCTGCCGACAGACCAGACATATCTCTGTGTCAACGGTTCATTTTGATTAAAAAACTCTAGGACCTCTCATTCTTTACATTGATGCATTATACAAGACCTATTACTTTCTTAAAGAGGAACTATCACTTGAAAATTCAAATTATGAAGGACCTTTCATTCTTTATTTAAGCACCAAACATTTAATACAGAATAAAAGGAGATTGGGTGAATATCAATGAAACAACACATTTAATAAAAAACGTGGCAATATACTGAAAAAAAAATAGTTTTGAAATTTGAAAATTAAAAAATACATATTTAAAATAATGCATGGTTATTTTCATTGAAAGGGTAAAAAGGGAAACAGTTTGCTATTTAATAAAAATGAATAGTTTGCTAATGTCAAAAGTTTCTTTTTTAGGGAGAGATCTAGAAGGCAAGAAATGCAGAACCTTTATAAAGAAATGGCCGATCTGGTTATGACAGAAAATGAAGTAGAAGATCTTTCAAATCATTGGAAAGCATTTCCAAAAACAAACATTTTAGATAAGGTTAGTTTTTTATTTAATACATACATTAGTGAATGCTAAATTTACTACCTAACAAATGAGATCTGAATTGTCAGATTTTTATATGATGAACAACTCTGTTTGAAATTGCCTAGTCACTTCTTTCAAATATCACCTACACATCATACATTTTTGTATCTTCTACAACATTGTGTGACCTAGGGATACTAATCCAATGACAACAAGCTATTTACATAAAACTTTATATTTGAGTAGGGAGGAGACATGGATACTTCATATTTATATACAGATGCCTTGTATTCAGAAGTTTCAGTCTGGAATATTTCTGTTGTCTTTGACCTCAAACTGAATAGTTTTTTTTATCACACAATTTCAAGGATCAGTGTTCAATGTTGTTTTTGTCTTGAAGTCTATTTCAGATACCATAAGCAATAGGTCAACTATATTTGGCATAGTTTGTTTGACTTTTAACTCATTTTAATGGTTCATTGGTTAACTTTTACTTTTCGTTATTAGTTTAGTATACTAAAAACGATAGGTCAACTATATTTGGTGTATGGAATGATTGGAAGGCACACATGTCCTGAAGAGTTCATCTGACCTTAACCACATTTTCATGGTTTATTAGTCAAAGTTAAGTTTTACTGGTTATGACGGTTTCTAAGATTTTATTAGCAAAAGGTCAACTATTATATTTGATGAATGGTTTGCTTGTTAGATGTCCATCTGACAGGGTTATCTGACCTTGACAACATTTTCATGGATCATTGATAATTGATAAGTTTATGTGTGCCGGAAGTAGAACCTGTATCATTAAGACTTTAGACAGTAAGGCAGTTATGATTAGTAAAACAGTCGAGACAAACTTGTTAAAGTTATGTTCTGTTTCTCTTCAGAATTTCCTTGCAGGTTTTAGGTTTTGTATGATGCCTTTTACTCATATTTTTTTAACCCAACATCTTATTTTATTTATATTATATTTTTATTATGATAGATAAGAAAGGGACATTATTTTGTGTGCTTGATCACAGTTTCTCTAATTGATATTTTTTTGTAGGCTATAGCTTGTATTAAGACTGAAGCCTCATCAAGAAGTCAATTTATTGGGAAAGTAGAAGCCTTTAAGATATACCAGAAAAAACTTCAAAAACGTCTTGTAGAGTTGAAAGGTTTGTTGAGTTATTAATATTATATATACTACTATTCACTCTTGAAAATTATGTGATGTTTCCAAGTCCCACACATAGTCAAATCACTTAAAAGTACAACAAGAATTACACTGTCGTAGAACCATGTAATGATACTTGACTGTTGCAGGATATTTTAAGTGAGCCCAACCTTTATTTGTTCTCAATGGCCTCATTTAATTAAGTTATCTGAAATTCTATGTAGTTTCTTCTTTCAATCTATTAGGAATAAGCAAGGATGATACTAAACTACAATAAATCAGTGAACTGTCATAAAATTAGGCCATGGAATCATCCATCATCTGATAACTGAAAACATACATAACCCGTATATCATGTGCATGACATATATGCATAACTTCAATTATACTTGAATGCTTACCATTGTGGTGATAGAAAGACATCTTTACATGTTGATATCAGATACTTGCATCATTGGGGGGAGGTGACGTCCATACAAACTTTGGTAGTTATTTTATTGATCGAGTACTCCAGTATCGCTCAGTTAAACCAATGGGCACTCAATTATTACTTCTTCACCGAGTTGACATACCTATTTAAAACGATGTATTTGAATGACTTGTGTAACATTAAAGTTATTGAGTCTGTTTTTTTTCAGAATATCATATTGGAAGAGGCATCAGTAAAGAGAAACTAGAATCCCAGCTAGACAAAATTGCTGTAGTTTGTGGTAAAATTTACGATCATCTTCCAGAAATCAAAAAGCATATTAAAGACAAAAAAGGACCTGACAGAGCATCTACATCAATGCCGCCACCAGTCAAACAAAAATCTAAAAAGACCTCAAAACAAGCCAAGAGGTCCAAAGTAGCTACATCTAAACACAAATCAGCTGAGATTTATATAGATAATCCAGAAGAGTATGAAAATGAGGAACAAATAGGTCAAGTTGCCACACCCTTATCTTCGTTACCTGGTAGTTACACAACCTCAACTCCTGTAAGGATGCAAAGACCTGCACCTTCTCTTGGAGGTCCATATCTTCCAAGATCCAATGCAACATTAACTTTACAAGGCACAAATATACAAGCTGTTCCAATATCAAGCATACCTGCCGCAGCTATTAAAGTTCAAATGTCTAATACAAGAGGCATTCCGACTCCAATTCCAAGAATGTCAAGCATTGCTATAAGGTTTCCTGTTCAGGCTGTCCGAGTACAGAGTGCTAACTCTGTTCCTATGCCAACTGTTAGTGTTCAAGGTCAAAGACCTGGTGCTATACCAAAGAACATTACTGTTCAAAGTGTGAACACAATAGTTGGCACTCCACTTGCTGAAGGTGATCCATTACAAGTGAGAAGCATTGTTCCTGCAATTGTTCAGTCTTCACAAAGCAGTCTTATTCCAAGTTCATTAAGTAACGTATTGGACCCTCTCATTGTACCACAGAATGTTACAACATTTCAAAGTTCTCTATCCACTCCTGTAGCATCAGCTCTGGAATCATCTAGTGCAAAAGATGGAAGCATTCATACCGATATAGTTCAGAATTTAGGACAACATTCATCCACGTCAGGATTTAGTGCAGTTCTTGGACAGATAATCAAGAAGAATATTGTTGAAGAAATGGGTTCAGAATTAGGGATGGAGAATATTCAAACTTCTTTAAATGTACAACAAAAAGATATTGTCAAAACAGTGGAAAGTAGTGCTCCATCAATTCCTCAGTATGATGTGAACTTGCTCAAAGATCAGATTCTTGATGATTCCACGGGAGAATTAATAGCTGTTGTAATGAATGAGGATGACAATGATAGTAGCGATAGCTCATCAAAAAATGATGAAAATTCTCAAAATTCCAAAAGTAATGAAGATACAGCAGAGACCTCTGCTACTGTTGAAACTATTTCCAAAACTGAAGAATCTTGTCCTAATTCAGAAGACAAGAAGGAAGAATGTAGTGTATCTTCTGAGATTGACAAAAAGATAAGTAATCAGACAGAAGAACTTGAAACTGATGAAGCACCTAATATTGAATCTCTTTTAAACGACATAAAATCACTTTGTCAGGAAGATGAAACACCATTACATCAACCTAGCCTGAAATCTTCAATAGAAAAACAGGATAATAAGCAGGACAATAAAATATTGAGCAAGGAAGTGGAATCTGAAAATGTTTTACCAAATAATGAAAGACTAGATCAAGTTGATGGAGATATCTTTAATTTTTCTGGTGCCAAAGATATAGGAAACTTGTCAGAGTCTGATTCTAATAATAGTGCTAGGACAAATGTGTATATGGAAGACTCTGATGGCAATGTAAGCATTGCTGGTGAGATCAGTGATGGACCGGTAGACAATGAATCAAACACACCCAAGATAGTATCTGTTATGTCTATATCTGATGTTTTAGGTGATAATTTTAAAGATATTGATGAACCATTAGAGATGGGTCCTGATGGAGACAACATGACTGCTCTGTTTAATAATGACAACAATTGTTCTCTTTAATTACTTTTGACTTGTATTTTTAAGATATGAATTTGAAAGAGCTTTCTTTTTTTTCTTTTTTTAGAAATAGTTTGTCATTTTCCTTAGGGCTGTTCAATAAAAACTTATATGGGACCTAGGAAGGGCAGCTTGAATTTGGTTGGTATGAAATATAATTTTGTACATACAAGTTTTTGTGATGTGTCTCCAAAATAGCTTCTATGGGTGGTTACTCTAATTTCAAAATGTCTTCCCTGGTACCTTTACGATTAAATGGAACAAATCTTGGAATTAAACGCAACATTCATTATATTAGATTTTGTTTAGTGGGTCTAGAACCGACAGATTATGAGTTTTATATCTAAACGTCCAATTCTTATGTCTTTCTAAAATAATCATTATAAGCTTCTTGTCTGAGACAACTAAGTTTATACTCAAAATACATATGCATGATGCAAATATTACACAATGCTGTGCTAAATTTTGTATAAGAATTTCTATGTATAAATCTATTTGTAGTTGACTTTGATATACTTTGTTCTTGTTTTTGCATCCACTGTGTTATTATGAGTATAAGCTTTTAAACTGTTGGACAGTGGTGTATTATAAACATGATAAAGGAACATTTATTTTATTTGGAAAGTGTTCATGTTACTAATAATTTATGTTTAACCATTGTCTTATGAAGATATCATATCTATCTGTAAAACATGTTTACTTTGTAAATTCATGCCAAATTTCTTAATGCCTTTTGGGAATAAAATTTATGAACCCCAACTTCAAAGTGTAAATATATTTACTTAGGAGATTATGACAAAGAATAGTTTACATGTGTATTTTAAGGCCAGTGTGGATGATTTTCATTAATAATGTGTGAAATTAGCAGATTACATTTTAAGTCACAGAAATTTCATACTTAAAAACCATATTCAATTGTGATGATTATTAAGTTCTGAAATTTCATGAACAAAAAAGCTATTTCATTTATGATGATATTGCATAGATTTTTCAATTGTTTCCTGTTATTAGAATTTTTTTCCGAGGAACAAAAAAATCACATAATAACGTTTTAAATGGATTTTTTCTGTGATAAAATTTCTTCATTCATTATATTAAACCACAATTGATATCATTTTGTACAAATTACCAGTCTGTCATTAATATCTCTGAATTGAATATTGTTTCACATCTTGTGAAAATTTAGCCATTTGTAATTATACAGTCAAAATATCATTTTTGTCACTAAACCATTGTATATAATGTCAACCTAAATTAAATTCTGATACAATGCTGATTTTTTTCCTTTTTGTCTCGTTTGATTTTTCAGCTCAACTGAACAAAAGAATGAAATTTTTCATATGATTGGCCTGAAGAAAATGAAAATCTATAGGGTTTTAGTTTTCTACAGTCCTACCCCTGGGCTCACATTAACTACATTTTTTTTAGCTGTCATAAAATGACTTAAAGAGCATGTTTCCCTCATCTAGCATCTTAATACATGTTTACCTTCTTATTTTATATTATAGTAGCAGTGTTTATCCAATATTTTCAAAAGGGCACATAACTTTTACAATAGAAAGGGAATTTGAAGTAGAAATTTCACAAAATGGGCATGGGGAGTAGCTTTGAAAATCCAGTATAACTCCCTTTTGAATCCCATTGTCCATCATTGACAACCCTAAGTTAATTTCTAGATGTCTATGTTGTTTCTACCCCACAGAATGACTAGGGTATAGTTATATGTTCATCCCTGGAATTCTCCTATCCAGCAGTGAAACCCATCGTAAAGTGGAGGTTTTTTTTTCACTGTTTAAGATGTTTGACGAAGTCTGGTTGGAAAAAGGATGCTTAATTTCAATGCATCGTGAAGATTGAGCTCCAGGCTCTCTTCATGTTAAAGAACCTTTGCAATTTTAATTCAAAGAATTGGAAAACAGAAAGAAGTTTTCCTACAGCTCCAAAAAGCATTTACACATTACAACTCACCATGAACAGGAAGAAGGTTTCAGACAGATCCCAAAAGTGATCACACCTTACAACTCATCACTGTCAAGCTGCTCACAGAAAGTATGTGATGAAAGTATTTGTTGGACAGAAGGACAAGACAATTGCTATATCACCCACACTTTAAGAGTGGTAATATAACAACTCTTTAAGGTATCTACAGGTGGCCTGTTGTAAGGAAAAATTTCTGCTGCCTATCTGACATACCTTTATTTTACAGTGTCGGTAGAAATGCTCGCCCCTTTATCCCAGTAATGAACCCACTTTACAGAACCTACCTATTGCATTAATCTGGATTTTTTTTCTCGTCCTGAATATACATGAAACATTTGCCGCTGAACTCAGCAATTTATCTATCAAAATATTTGTTGAAGGCCGTATGGCAACCTCTTGTTGCTAACATCTAGGTCATTTGGACTCGGGGTGAATTGTCTCATTGCCAATCATATATCACATATCCTTATTTTACACTGTTCAGACACCTATAAGTTTATTAAAAAAAACAATGCAGAAGTCAGCAACTATTTGTAATTATTATTGTGTTGATGATATGAAAGAAAAACATACTTATTGTTTTGGAAAGACTGGAATTTGTTCTAATTTTTATGCCTCCGCCGTAGCGGAGGGGGCATTAAGTTTTACCCTTGTCCGTCTGTACGTACGTCCCAAAATTGGTTTCCGATCTCTAACTTTAGTTTGCCTCATCCAGATGTTATGAAACTTGTACACAATGCTTAATACCAACAAACACAGATCAAGTTTTAATTTGGGTTGCGTCACTTTTACCATTCTAGAGTTATGCCCCTTTTCAATTGGAAAAATTGCTAAAATTTTCGTTTCCGTTCTCTAACATTAGTTTGCCTCAACCAAATGTTATGAAACTTATAAACAATGCTTATTACCACAAAACACAGATCAAGTTTGAATTTGGGTAGCGTCACTTTTACCATTCTAGAGTTATGCCCCTTTACAAATGGAAAAATTGCTGAATTTTTCGTTTCCGTTCTCTAACTTTAGTTTGCCTCATTCAAATGTTATGAAACTTATACACAATGCTTATTACCAACAAACACAGATCAAGTTTAAATTTTGGTGGCATCACTTTTACTGTTCTAGAGTTATGCCCCTTTTCAAATGGAAACATTGCTGATTTTTTTTGTTTCAGTTCTCTTACTTTAGTTTGCCTCAAGCAAATGTTATGAAACTTATACGCAATGCTTATTACAACAAAACTCAGATCAAGTACAAATTTGGGTAGTGTCACTTTTATCTTTCTTAAGTCATGTCCCTTTATAACTTTATATGCAAGCGGGGGCATCATTGACATAATTTAAATTAATGATAAACAAAGACACCGAAAGGCAGTATAATATAATAATTTAATATGAAACGCCTCTTTCCTGATCAAACTACCATACTTTTTGTCTTGTAGAATTGAGCCTTCCTGGTCTGATCTAGTTACAGTAAATTTATCTTGTTTCTGTAATTAACAGACGCATATATATGTTTCTCTAACAGTTTAAATAACTCAGCATATTGACCTTACTAACCTTTCTTTTTTAAAAAAATCTAATTGCACGTCGACTCTTGACCTCACTAGTATGTTAGATGTTTGATATAGATATACATAAGATTAATGTACATAATGGAAAACTTAAACATTCATATGTAGAAAAATAAATGCGGAAGGTGATTCTGTTACAAATAAGTGGTTACTTTTTTTGTAGTTGATTTGCTGTCTCATCATAAACCTCACATCTCCTTTTTTATACGACCGCAAAAATTAAAAATTTTTTGGTCATATATTGGTATGACGTTGGCGTCGTCGTCGTTGTCGTCTGGCGTCGTCCGGCGTCGTCCGAAGACACATTGGTTTTCGCACTCTAACTTTAGTTTAAGTGAATGGATCTCTATGAAATTTTACCACAAAGTTCAATACCACAAAAGGAAGGTTGGGATTGATTTTGGGGGTTGTGGTACCAACAGTAAAGGAATTAGGGGCCAAAAATAAGCATTTTTGTAACTTCCAGACATAACTTGTGTGTAAGTGTATGGATATCTCTGACATTGTACCACAAGATTCCATATCACAAAAGGAATGCTGGGATTGATTTTGGGGGTAATTGTCTCAAAATTTTAGGAATTAGGGTCCAAAAAAGGGGCAAAAAACAAGCATTTTTCTAGTTTCATGACAATAACTTGTGTGTAATGTTTGGATATTTCTGAAATTGTACTAGAAGGTTCCATATCACAAAGGGAAAGCTGGAATTGAGTTTGGGGGTAATTGCCCGAAACGTTTAGGAATTGGGGGCCAAAAAGGGGCCAAAAATAAGCATTATTCTAGTTTCCAGACAATAACTTGTGTTCAAGTGTATGGATCTCACTGAAATTGTACTGCAAGGTACCATACCACAAAGGAAAGGCTGGGATTGAGTTTGGGGGTGATGAATCATAAGGGGGTTCAAAAAATTTGGGGGGGGGGATTTTTTTTTTTTCTTTTTTTTTTTTTTTTTTCTTTTAAAATTTTCCATTTTAAGTTGGTTATTACTGATTTATATTTAAAAGCAAATAATAATGATATGGTAGGAGATACACACCAAACAGGATGTGTAAGTTATTATATAATAAGTATTGTGCAATAGCAAGAAATTTTCAATTGCACAGTATTGCGCAATAGCAAGAAATCTTCAATTGCACAGTATTGCGCAATAGCAAGAAATATCCAATAGCACAATATTGCGCAATAGCCAGAAATTGTCAATTGTACAGTATTGCGCAATAGCAAGAAATATTCAATTGCACAGTATTGTGCAAATGAAGATACTTCGTATAAATTGCTTATAACTTGATCAATTGCAATGGGGTTTTATTCTTGAATTCTTGGGGTTCTTTAATATGCTGAATCTAACCGTGTATTAAGTTTTTGGATTTTGGGCCCCGTTTTTAAATTGGTCCACATTGAGGTCCAAAGAGTCCAAAATTTAACTTTGTTTGATTTCGTCAAAAAATTGTATTATTGGGGTTCTTTGATATGCCGAATCTAACCGTGTATTTAGATTCTTAATTTTTGGTTCCGTTTTCAAATTGGTCTACATTAAGGTCCAAAGGGTCCAAAATTAAACTTAGTTTGATTTTAACAAAAATTGAATTTTTAGGGTTCTTTGATATGCTGAATCTAAACATGTATTTAGTATTTTGATTATGGGCCCAGTTTTCAAGTTGGTCCAAATCGGGGTCCAAAATTAAACTTTGTTTGATTTCAACAAAAATTGAATATATGGGGTTCTTTGATATGCTGAATCTAACCATGTATTTAGATTTTTGATTTTTGGGCCCCGTTATCAACTTTGTCCACATTGAGGTCAAAAGGGTCCAAAATTAAACTTTGTTTGATTTCATCAAAAATTGAATTCATGGGGTTCTTTGATATGCTGAATCTAACCATGTATTTAGATTTTGGATATTGGACCATAATAGGTGAATGTCCAATTTAAAATTTTTAAGTTCTTAGACCACATTCATTCTGTGTCAGAAACCTATGCTGTGTCAAATATTTAATCACAATCCAAATTCAGAGCTGTATCAAGCTTGAATGTTGTGTCCATACTTGCCCCAACTGTTCAGGGTTCGACCTCTGCGGTCGTATCAAGCTGCGCCCTGCGGAGCATTTTATTATATCTAGATTATAGATGCCAGTACTCAAGTTTGCCAATGACAAAAAAAAATAAAGACTGGATATGGTTTTCACAAAAATATTCTTTATTACGTTCTGTACCTCAAGTTTCTTTTTTATTTCACTTAACGAGGCGGATATTTAAGATTGTTCGATGATAATATTGTTTACATTATTTTTATACGACGTATATTGCTATCACGTCATCGTTGTCCAAAGACATTTGGTTTCCGGACAATAACTTTAGTCTAAGTGTATGGATCTCTATGAAATTTAACAAAAAGGTTCAATACCACAAAAGGATTGTTGGGATTTTTTTTGGGGGTGATGTTCCCAACCATTTAGGAAAAAGGGGCCCAAAACAAGCATTTTTCTAGTTTCAGGACAATAACTTGTGTATAAGTATTTTGATTGCTCTGAAATTGTACCACAAGTAGAAGGTTGGGATTCATTTGGGGGGTAATTGCCCAAACCGTGTCAAGATTCAAGAAATTAAAAAGGAAATTTCTTCAAATATTATTTATGGAGGGGGGGGGCAATTTTTTTCCCTCAAGATTTAAGGAATTGTCAATTTTCCAAAGAAAAATTGGGGTCGCAATTTATTTTGCTAATTCTTT